CCATGTTATGTGCGAGAGTGTATTTAGCGAAGGCGTACCGAATGGCAAGGAAGTCTGAATATAATTCCTTTATGTAAGCGTGAATATTTGTACGTATTTAATAACTGTATTTCTGCTAGTTAAAATGGATCTGAGTATACTGTGATTTCCGTTTTAAAAAGATTAAATATTAATACTTGAATTTTTATGGGAGCAGTGGGTTCATCACCAAAATCTCCGAAGGCTTTACTCCGCATATAAACTTTAATAAGCAGAAGCCAGAGTTTTCGAATTCACAATAAGCTGGATCCATCATCAGAGGACATTATGCAGCAATAAGCACAAAACTAATCGCAGCAATCGTTGCATACTTTGGAATGGCCTTAAAGTGCAAATACTATAAACGAGCTGCTAATATGTATTGTAATCGAAGGTGACAGATTTCAATGAAACTCTGTCTTGGACTTCATCAGGTTTTAACTTTTTTGCTACCTTATTCCAGATGGATGACGAGCCCTCATCGTTGTCTCTGTTTAGATATTTGCATGCTTGTATCGATAGCGCTTCTTTAATTATCCGTCTCCGGTAGTTTCTTCTGTGTTACACCCTTTGCAAGCTTCCCAGTCAACAGTCGACAGAAAAATATTCCTCGCATGAAAGTCGACCATGGGGCAGAGAAGAAACGGGGACCAGTCTAAGAGTTATTAGAAATTAACCTGTTCCCTGTCGAAGTGGTGATGACTAAAGTAATCCGAGAGTTTCTTCGAGCATTTCGGACATCATTAATATGGAATAGACGGAGCCGATTAAGTTGCTGTTTTCCAGATAACGATGATAAACAACAACAATCACGTTTGGCAGTCAACGATATAACCCTCATTCACAGTGATTTCTATAACAACTTTGAAACGCCTTGTAACAGCCCTGCAAAATAAAAAGTTATTAAGCACTGGTAAATAAACCAAACACTAATCTGGATGCTTAAAACTTTCGAACAGTATTTGAGTGTTTTTCTTCAACAGGGTCCACAAGAGTCTTTGTGGCTGTTCGGTGTACTGAATCAAAATATACTGAAATACCGTTCAAAACGTTCGGGCTAAGTTTTTGTTTGAACCTGTTTAATAAAACGTTTTATGCGTGGTTTTGCTAGCGTTTCAGAGTTGTTAGGGAAATCTGTGACGTCCCGTATATGAAATATGTAGTAACTTATCTCACAACCAAAAACTTTTGCGCACTACATGCACTTGTCGCTGGCCACTATTGATGCAGTATCCTTGGGGGCAGGGTCAGAGACCCCTTCTCGAGGTGGAAAACAACAGATTGATCGTGGGCCATATTCTGACGTGATAAACAGCGCGAATATCGTCAACCCAACGATCCGACATCACCTGTTCAGCACAGGTCTCATGGTCATGGAGCAAGCCTAAGGCATTCATCGGCGGAGCGGGGGAGCGGTATTTCGTACATCAAACTCAGTGACCATTCAAAGCCTAAAGCTTAATTTCAAACAGCTCGCCTTGTACCGAATAAAAAGAAGCACGTTCGTAGCTATTCGCAGGTCAACAGCTGATTACACAGTTATCCCGGAAGGATTAGTCGACTGACTAAACCACCGCGTGAGGAATTGAATCACCGATTCACTCATTCCATTCGCTCGCTTTTTCGCAACTCGAGCGAACAACAACAACGTGAGGCAGTTTAGAAGCAGCACCACACGGATATCATGATAATAATAATAATTATTATCATCATTAATTTCGCAGCTAAGTGTTACGTCATCATGTTTGCAGTTGCTGCTACAGAAAAACAACGCGCAGAGTAGACTATTCGGTTGCAAGGATTAAAAATTAAATTGAAAAATCCGATTTTTCCGTCTGATCGAAGTACTGAAAATATCGCTAAACGCCTCATATCTAATGTGAGAAAAAAACGTCTATGAACCGAGAACTGAAATTAGAGCTTAACAAAATGTTGCAAAACTTATCAAAAGCCGGATAAGTGTTTTGATTCCACGGTTAGAAGTACGAAAGATTAAAAACTAATTCAGAGATATTGAAACACGGATCCGACATTTCGAGAACAAATCGAATCAGCATCGGTCATCATGTCGGGTATTTTTTAATGAACAGAATCGCGTTCGCCGATGATGACTGCAATTCTGTCGAAACCGTGGAATTTCGGTTCAGTAAACAATTTAATTTTTGTTTCTAACCACTGCTAACCATAAAATTATCTTCCGCCAGTCATCTACGGTGCGAACTCGGCATGAGTTAATGAGGTTACTTCCTCAAATCCAAAGCTTTTCAAATTTTACTTACTGAAAATGTTTATGGCTTCATTCAGCAAGAATGAAGCGCCTTAACCGCTGGGCGAAGAACAATAAATCAGCTGAGAACAGGAGGAGGAGGTAATCGATTCGATCGGGTTGTCAGCAGCGGCAAGTTCAGCGAAGAAAGGAGTTGAAGATGAGAGAGGTTGCAACAAAAGCATCAAGAGCTGCAGAATGCCTGGGATCGTGGGCGTCCGAGGAGACGCATGAGATGAGATGAGTAGTTCACACAAGCAACAAGTCATCCATTCGGTCGGTCAGGTTAATGAGGAGAGGGGGACAAGTCAAAAGAGGTTCGAACCTTGCTACAATTTAATGTCGAATTAAATTAAACGACTACAAACGATGAAGTCTGTGCCTTGAGCAAATCGCGTGTATTCCTTGCACCCATGAGTAGGTATGTCCAAAAGACAAGCCGCAACCCGAAGGTAATGGCGGTGTCACTTTCCTAAAGTCTAGAAGACCCATAGTTGGGTCAGATTATGTGTCTAATTCTAAGCTACGTTGATGACTATGCTAAGCTGTCC